CGGTCGTGAAGGGGTCGTGCTAAACATTCGGTTAAGCGAACCGGCCACACTAACCGCGCAGGGGTCGCCAGAGGCTAACTGTTGCCTAACATGATACACTTGGGTGGTAGGTTATAGGCTTGGTTATACGTAGCAGTAGCCCCAAAGGCATTTATTGTTATATAGCAATAGCCCTGGATGTATCGTGGTTACATAGCAATAAATTGCTATTGCTATATTCGGACGTCTGACAGCTGGGTGGACAGCGCTTCGGATTCGTAGTCCTGAGGTCCCGGGTTTGATCCCCGGTGAAGCCGGAGACAAATGAGCAAAATGTTTCTTTCACTCTGATGCCCCATGTTACCTAGCGGTAAATAAGTACCTGGGAGTTAGACAGCTGCTACGGGCTGCTTCCTGGGAGTGTGTCAAAAAAAAGGAGGCCTGGTCGAGGACCGGGCCGCGAGGACGATAAGTCCCGAAATCATCTCAAGATAACCTGGAGGTGTCGTGGCTATATAACAATAGTTCTCCAGACACAAACACCTTCAATAAGCAGAAAACTTTACTTCTGTCAAAGTTATGAAAAACACCAATTACTTGATCCGTCCTAGAAAAGAGAGAGAGAGAGAGAGAGAGAGAGAGAGAGAGAGAGAGAGAGAGAGAGAGAGAGAGAGAGAGAGAGAGAGAGAGAGAGAGAGAGAGAGAGAGAGAGAGAGAGAGACAGACAGACAGACAGAGAGGGAGAGAGAGAGATTAATACAAAAATAAAAGTAATAAACTCCGTATCTGCCTAAAATGAATAATAATAATGATAATAATAATATTAACAGTCCCCCTCTTTATAAACACAGATAATTACTAGAGTTAAAATAAGCCAATTGACCGGGCTTGCGTCTGCGTCATAGGCAGGTGGTGGCAGAACTGTCGCGCAGTGACCGAACCACACGACCGAACGACACGACACAACTACACGACCGAACCACACGACCGAACGACACAACACAGCTACACGACACAGCTACAGGACCGAACCACACGACACAGCTACACGACCGAACCACACGACCGAACCTCCCGACCGAACCACACGACACAGCTACACGACCGAACCACACGACACAGCTACACGACCGAACCACACGACACAGCTACACAACCGAACCACACGACACAGCTACACGACCGAACCACACGACACAGCTACACGACCGAACCTCCCGACCGAACCACACGACACAGCTACACGACCGAACCACACGACACAGCTACACGACCGAACCACACGCCACAGCTACACGACCGAACCACACGACACAGCTACACGACCGAACCTCCCGACCGAACCACACGACACAGCTACACGACCGAACCACACGACACAGCTACACAACCGAACCACACGACACAGCTACACGACCGAACCACACGACACAGCTACACGACCGAACCTCCCGACCGAACCACACGACACAGCTACACGACCGAACCACACGACACAGCTACACGACCGAACCACACGACACAGCTACACGACCGAACCACACGACACAGCTACACGACCGAACCTCCCGACCGAACCACACGACACAGCTACACGACCGAACCACACGACACAGCTACACAACCGAACCACACGACACAGCTACACAACCGAACCACACGACACAGCTACACGACCGAACCACACGACCGAACCTCCCGACCGAACCACACGACACAGCTACACAACCGAACCACACGACACAGCTACACGACCGAACCACACGACACAGCTACACGACCGAACCTCCCGACCGAACCACACGACACAGCTACACGACCGAACCACACGACCGAGCCTGGAGATAATACCTCTCCTAACGGGCGGTGTTTTCACAAGGGGGGATCTCATTGTCTTCTGCTACCGGTAATCCGCCTTTATTATTCCTGAAGTGGAGAGAGAAGAGAGGGGAGGGGGTAGGTGAAGGAGAGGGGAGGTAGGGAGGGGAAAGGATGGGCGTGTGGAAGAGAAGGGGGGGGGAAAGGATAGGGTAAAAAAGGAGAACGGAATTAGGGAGGTCAAGAGAGGAGAGACAGAGACGGATGAAAGAGCACACAAGATAGAGGGTGGCGTAGATGGGACATAGGAAAGGATGAAAGATGGAACGAAAAGGGAGAGAATGATGGGTAGAAAGGAGTTAACCTGTGGAATGGAGAGTAACAGAAGAATGGAAGGAGGAGAAATAGAAGCGTTTGGGGACCGTTGAACGTCGCAGCTAGACAAGTGTATACTCAAACACCTGTTGTAGACTCAAACACCTGTTGTTGACTCATACACCTGTTGTAGACCCAAACACCTGTTATAGACTCAAACACCTGTTGTAGACACAAACACCTGTTGTAGACTCAAACACCTGTTGTAGACTCATACACCTGTTGTAGACTCATACACCTGTTGTAGACTCATACACCTGTTGTAGACTAACACCTGTTGTAGACTAATACCTGTTGTAGACACAAACACCTGTTGTAGACACAAGCACCTGTTGTAGACTCAAACACCTGTTAGTAAACCCGACCAAATTGTTCAGTTTCCACCACCGCCCACGGGATAGGTATGGGGTCCACCACCGCCCACGGGATGGGTATGGGGTCCACCACCGCCCACGGGATGGTTATGGGGTCCACCACCGCCCACGGGATGGTTATGGGGTCCACCACCGCCCACGGATGGGTATGGGGTCCACCACCGCCCACGGGATATGTATGGGGTCCACCACCGCCCACGGGATGGGTATGGGGTCCACCACCGCCCACGGTATGGGTATGGGGTCCACTACCACCCACGGTATGGGTATGGGGTGCATAATAAATGACCAAAATCAATACAGCTTTGTAATGTTGCGTACGAATGTTAAAGTAACATACATTTTTGTATATAATGGGCAAGACAGGCACAGAACTTATAGCAGTAATTAATGGGTTTGTGTTCGTTCTATTTGAAGAGCAAAATAACACACTCGGCTCAAATGGCATTAGATTAGAGAAGAGAACGGTTCCCTTAATTCTCTTCAAAAGCCATAATCACCACCCTGCCAGAGTCTGACATTGACAGAACGGAGGCAGGTTACCTAACAATCTGGCTGACTGGTTTGTAGGACTGAAAATAAGGGAAATGAATGCATAAATTTGAGTTTCGTGGAATCCTTAAGAGTCCCACAGTAATCCTAAGTAATTATATGATAAAATGTGCTGTAATCGGGTTGGAATCCCCTGGTGAATAGGATTCCAACTGGGTTGAGAGATAACCCGAAACACCATGCGTGCTAGTGGCTTTACAAGAATGTAAAACATCAATGCTATGTACTCTCATATATCTTATTTACCTTCTTGTATGTGTATATACCTATATATATATATATATATATAAGATATATATACATATATATATATATATATATATATATATATATATATATCATATATATATATATATAATGTAAATCTTCCCTCTTTCCTCCATGACCTTCATATGGGCTCTGTGATCTCTATAATTTCCATATCCAGCATTCGTCCCTAAATGTCTCCTAATACGTTCATAACCCAATGTGCGTTCATAAAAAGCGCCTGTATACTGTTCTTATTTATTGTGGGTCCCATCTGCTTAGTGCCTGGCTGGCTCTGGGGTGCCTGAGGTGTTTCCACTGTGGTGGACGGCTATATGGTGTTTTACTGAGCAGCTCACTGGTGGGAACGGCCGGTGGAGGCGTGACTGGGAAGGAACTTTGTGCGTGCTGTTTCACAGGGTCTCTCTCTCTCTCTCTCTCTCTCCTCTCTCTCTCTCCTCTCTCGTCTCTCTCTCTCTCTCTCCTCTCTCTCTCTCGTCATCTCGCTCGCTCTCTCGCGCTCTCTCTCTCTCTCTCGCTCTCCTCTCTCTCCTCTCTCCTCTCCTCTCTCTCTCTCCATCTCCATCTCTCTCTCTCTCTCTCTCTCTCTCTCTCTCCATCCTCTTCCTCTCCCTCAATCTGCTTCTCTCCCCTCTCCTCATCTCCTCTCCTCGCTCTCTACTCTTCTCTCTCCAATCTCGCTCTCTCTCTCCTCTCCTCTCTGTCTCTCTCTCTCTCCTCGTCATCCTCTCATCTCTCCTCTCCTCTCCTCCTCCTCTCCTCTCTCTACTCTCCCCTCTCTCTCTCTCCTCTCTCCAGCTCGCCTCTCTCTCTCTCTCTCCCTCTTCTCTCTCTCCTCTCTCTCCTCTCACGGTCCCCTCCTGTCTCCTCTCCCCCCTCCTCACCTATCCTCATCTCTCCCCTCTTCTGTCTCCCTCCCCCCCTCTCTCCGTCTCCCCTCGTCCTCTGGACCACTCAGCCTCATCTCCTCTCCTCCTCTATCCGCATCTCGCCTCTGCGTTATCCCTCTCCCCCTCCTCCTCTCCTCACTCTCCTCCCCCTCTACTCTCGACTCTCCCGCTCTCCCTCCTCTCTCTCTCTCCCTCTCCGCTCTCTCTCTCGCCTCCTCCTCCACTCTCTCTGTCATCCTCGCCCCTCACTCTCCTCTCTGCGCCCTGTCCTCCCGTCTCTCTCCTCCTCTCCTCCTCGGCCCTCTCCCCCTCTCTCCTCCCTCCCTCTCCACTCTCTCACGTCCCTCTCTCTCTCTCCCTCTCCTCTCGTCTCTCTCTCCCTCCCTCTCCTCCTCTCTCTCTCGCCTCCCCTCTCTCCCTCCTCCATCTCTCCTCTCATCTCTCCCTCTCTCTCTCTCACCCTCTTCTCTCGCCCTTCCTCATCTCCTCGTCTCTCCGCTCTCACATCCCTCCCCCTCTCCTCTCTCTGCCCCTCTCTCTCTCTCTACATCCCTCTCTCTCTCCTCCGCTCTCCTCTCTCTCTGTCTCCTCTCTCTCTCGCTTCGTTGGTTTTCCTTCGCACTGTATTTGATTTTGGTTCGTACGTGTCTTAGCGAACGCGCAGGCGTGGGGTAGCTTAACGAATTCCTGTTCATCCTAGCAATAAAAATTTTGAGTAAAGCCAAATGAGATTTAATTCAAATACCTTTCTCTTTAGCCGGAACAATTACCTGCATCAGCTCCACATCCTGGAAAAAATAATTTTTAAATTATTTTTAAATAGCATGGACACGATAGAGAGAGATTGTGTTTGTGTGAATTAGAAATAAATCATTTTAAAATTTAAGATAAATGTGGAATGTGAGGAATGACACCACTAGACAAATGGAAATTGGTAAGGCGGGTCCAAGATTTACCGCACAACCCATCCTAGCATATTCGGTGAGAACAAATAATTATGTTTAATTCACCCCCCCCCCCCTCTTACTACTTCAACACACACAACACACAAACACACCACACACACACCACACACACACACCCACACACACACACACACACACACACATACACACACACCCACACACACACACACACACACACAACACACACACAACCACACACACACACACACCCCACACACAAACACACACACACAACACACACACACACAACACACCACACACACCACACCACAACACACACCCACACACACACACACACAACACAAAATACACCCCACAAAAAGAAACACACGAGGCTTCTTGCCTCACTACTCTCTAGCTTCATTATGATGACGAATTTGGTAATGGGTCCCTTGACAGTCACGTGACCCGGCTGTCAGGCCACGTACACATACCACCTGTCAAGCGGTAATGACCACAACTGGCCCTTGGGGGGGGGAGGGAGGGGAGGTGTTAGTGGGCAGGGAATGCGGACTCCCCCCTCCACCCTCACCCCCACCCCCCCCCCCCTACCTGCAGTAAGTGACATGGCAGATGAGAATATTGTCATGGGGAAGCGCAGTAATTTCGGTGAGTGAGGTATGGGGGGGAGAGGAAGAGAGTGGGAAGGAGGAGAGAGAGGGAGGGGTGGAGAGGGAAGAAGGAGGAGGAAGAGGAAGGAAAACAACCTCCATAGAGACAGGAACGAAGGCGGGGTTGACGGAAACTCCCGATGAATCAGAGCTCATCGAGTAGACGGAGAGCAGAAAACGGGAGAGAAGAGGAATAGTAAGGTAGAGACAAATTTATAAGATGAGACAAAAGAAGGAAGAGGTTGGAGTGGAAGGGAACAAGGAAGGAAAAGCTGCCCCACATGTCACCAAAACCTGAGTTTAGCTCCGGCTCGTCACTCCTCAAACAACTCACAACACACACTTTCCTGCTCCAGAACTCGATAAATGATAACATTTTTGACAGATAAACCTCACTGAGGAATACAAAAAAATAACTTCTTTAAAAGATTTAATGTCGCCCACACAAGGGGCGACAGTCTCAACAAGCCACAGTGTCACCCACACAAGGGGCGACAGTCTCAACAAGCCACAATGTCGTCCACACAAGGGGCGACAGTCTCAACAAGCCACAATGTCGTCCACACAAGGGGCGACAGTCTCAACAAGCCACAATATCGTCCACACAAGGGGCGACAGTCTCAACAAGCCACAATGTCGTCCACACAAGGGGCGACAGTCTCAACAAGCCACAATGTCGTCCACACAAGGGGCGACAGTCTCAACAAGCCACAATGTCGTCCACACAAGGGGCGACAGTCTCAACAAGCCACAATGTCGTCCACACAAGGGGCGACAGTCTCAACAAGCCACAATGTCGCCCACACAAGGGGCGACAGTCTCAACAAGCCACAATGTCGTCCACACAAGGGGCGACAGTCTCAACAAGCCACAATGTCGCCGCCCACAAAGGGCGACAGTCCCAACAAGCCACAATGTCGTCCACACCGGGGCGACGTCTCACAAGCCACAATGTCGTCCACACAGAGTGGCGACAGTCTCAACAAGCCACAATGTCGCCCACACAAGGGGCGACAGTCTCAACAAGCCACAATGTCGTCCACACAAGGGGCGACAGTCTCAACAAGCCACAATGTCGCCCACACAAGGGGCGACAGTCTCAACACAACCACAATGTCGTCCACACAAGGGGCGACAGTCCTCAACAAGCCACAATGTCCGTCCACAACAAGGGGCGACAGTCTCAACAAGCCACAATGTCGCCCACACAAGGGGCGACAGTCCTCACAAGCCACAATGTCGTCCACCACAAGGGGCGACAGTCTCAACAAGCCACAGTGTCGCCCACACAAGGGGCGACAGTCTCAACAAGCCACAGTGTCGTCCACACAAGGGGCGACAGTGTCAACAAGCCACAGTGTCGCCCACACAAGGGGCGACAGTCTCAACAAGCCACAGTGTCGTCCACACAAGGGGCGACAGTCTCAAGAAGCCACAATATCGCAGAGCCCATGAACCCCGATAACCGAGAACCCCCCCCCCCCGCTCCTCGATAACAAACGACTGCTGATAGAATGTTCGGATAGAGCGGACACTTTACAGGAGCCCCTGACACAGCTCTATAAATACACAGCACTATATCTTGAGATGATTTCGGGGCATAGCGTCACCCGCGGCCCAGTCCTCGACCAGGCCTCCTTTTTGTTACCCCCCCCCACCCCCCCCCCCAGGAAGCAGCCCGTAGCAGCTGCCTAACTCCCAGGTACCTATTTACTGCTACGCAACAGGGGCATCAAGGTGAAAGAAACTCTGCCCATTGGTTTCCACCTCCCCAGGGGATCGAACCTCAGAACCTTAGGACTACGAATCCCGAGCGCTGTCCACTCAGCCGTCAGGCACCTGACAACAAAAATATTTCCTGATCGTTAAGATTGACCGGTGAGGCTAACCACCGTAGCCTGACACTATAACGATCGTTAGTACTTCAACACGTTAACCCCGGGGAGCCGGTCGGCCGAGCGGACAGCACGCTGGACATGTGATCCTGTGGTCCTGGGTTCGATCCCAGGCGCCGGCGAGAAACATTGGGCAGAGTTTCTTTCACCCTATGCCCCTGTTACCTAGCAGTAAATAGGTACCTGGGTGTTAGTCAGCTGTCCACGGCTGCTTTGCTGGGGTGGAGGCCTGGTCGAGGACCGGGCCGCGGGGACACTAAAAAGCCCCATAAATCATCTCAAATTAACCTCAAGATAACCTGCGCTAACAAGGCCAACATACCTTGGTTACCTTGAGGTGCTTCCGGGGCTTAGCGTCCCCGCGGCCCGGTCGTCGACAAGGCCAACATCACCAGGAAGCTGAAACATCACTGTATAACACTGCCAGAACATTGCATTATAACTGGAAAATATCGCCACTATATTGCAATTCCACTACAAAACAGTTCCATGACATTGCAAAATCACTGCAAAGCAGTACTAAGACGTTGTAATATCACTGCAAAACAGTGATAGGACATTGCAATATCACTGTAAAACAGTGATAGAACATTACAATATCACTGCAAAACAGTGCTAGAACATTACAATATCACTGCAAAACAGTGCTAGAACATTACAATATCACTGCAAAACAGTGATAGAACATTACAATATCACTGCAAAACAGTGCTAGAACATTACAATATCACTGCAAAACAGTGATAGGCCATTGCAATGTCCCTGCAAAGCAGTTCTGGGACATTGCAATATCACTGCAAAACAGTGCTAGAACATTACAATATCACTGCAAAAGTGATAGGTCATTACAATATCACTGCAAAACAGTGATAGGCCATTACAATATCACTGCAAAGCAGTACTGGGACATTACAATATCACTGCAAAACAGTGATAGGACATTACAATATCACTGCAAAACAGTGCTACAACATTACAATATCACTGCAAAACAGTGCTAGAACATTACAATATCACTGCAAAACAGTGATGGGACATTACAATATCACTGCAAAACAGTGCTAGAACATTACAATATCACTGCAAAACAGTGATGGGACATTACAATATCACTGTAAAATACAAGAACGAGGTATTTTAGCTGAAGAGTGACGCAATCTCCACCAGCGTAGTTCCTTGTCATATCTGATATACTGTGTGTGTGATATACTTACTGATATACTCTGGGGGGTCGAACCCAGGAGGAAGTGAGTAATGAATCCTGGAATGTGAAGAGGGGGAAGATATGTCCGAAGTCTGATATATTAGCCATTCTTCACCCTTGATATATTCTTTCTTCACGCCGGATATATTCTCAGTCTTCAGCCCTAATATACACCCTCTTGACCCATGGTATATTCGGCTTCTTCAGCCGTAATATATTCCCCTTTTAAGGTTGATTTAATCGTCATTCAACCCTTTGCTTGTTGCTGAGTGCATGTAGATTTCTTTATTAAAACTTAAGATACAATGTTGACCAGACCACACACTAGAAATTGAAGGGACGACGACGTTTCGGTCCGTCCTGGACCATTCTCAGGTTCGACTTGAGAATGGTCCAGGACGGACCGAAACGTCGTCGTCCCTTCAATTTCTAGTGTGTGGTCTGGTCAACATACTTCAGCCACGTTATTGTAACTCATCGCCTGCTTAAGATACAATGTTATGCCTTGATGCAGGATAACATTCCTCGACCACGAGGCCTGGTCAGAGACCGGGCCGCGGGGACCTTGAACCCCGAAATCAACGGAAGGTAGCCTATTGTATATTGTTCTGAATTGTGTAACTTTGTTTCGTTTTCAGCTGTATTGTGTTACTTAGTATTGTTAAGTATTGGATATTGTATTGTATCCCGATTCTCTATCGACGCTGCCAACAAGGTCTTGTGTTCACAATGTTCAATAAAGCGACTGTATAAATGTGAACATTAAAATACAGTAAGCGTCATCTCTACAGAGCAACAAACGCGCTAAATAGAGTTCAAAACACCAAAATGAGAGAAGATGATGTTTTGTGATATGAGAGAGAGAGAGGAGAGAGAGAGAGGAGAGAGAGAGAGAGAGAGAGAGAGAGAGAGAGAGAGAGAGAGAGAGAGAGAGAGGAAGAGAGAGAGAGAGAGAGAGAGAGAGAGAGAGAGAGAGAGAGAGAAGAGAGAGAGAGAGAGAGAGAGAGAGAGAGAGAGAGAGAGAGAGAGAGAGAGAGGAGAGAGAGAGAGAGAGAGAGAGAGAGAGAGAGAGAGAGAAAGAGAGAGAAAGAGAAAGAGAGAGAGAGAAGAGA